TTTCCGGGTAAAGTCGTAACTTTTCCACGAAAAAAAATTGCCAAATTTTGAAATATTTCCAGAAATATTGAAAAACGAAAATGAAACTTTTCAGGAAAGAATTCGAAGATTTTTTACAAAATCTTGAAAAATTTCCCCAAAATACTTTTCCGGGAAATCAAAATCCGAAGCGGCGACCCCTCCTCCAAACACGGTGACGTCAACGTTGCGGCAGCCGAGCCGTGTGCGTTATCGCCTAATCGCGATCGGGCGACATCTGCCGCAATCTCGCGCGAGGTGAGGTGGTGGACACACCGAAAATGGGGAATTGCAGCAGCCCCGCGAGCCACGTGCACGTAAGTCGGGGCGGGTGCTCGGCTCCGCTCGGCTCTGCCCTGGCTCTGCCCCGGCTCTGCCCTGGCGGTCGGTGGGGGTGGTGCAACGGCCCCCGATACGGGTATGGGTTTGCGGCTAATCGCGCGAGGCGCGAGAGTGGTTCCGTCAGCTCGTGATACTAGTACCTGCACAAGAGTCTTTCGTCACTGTTGTTCGCAATTCCTAGACAGTCCCTAAGACTGTCTCTATACCGGAAGGGGAAAAAACGTGCTCCTCCTCCCCCACCCCCACCCACCCCCCTCTCGACCGGCCGGCGGGGACACTTCTTGTGTGGAATTCTCCTAACTTATTTTTATTTTTTCGTGTTGCAATTGTTCATTTTGTCCGTTGTTTAGAAAATTATATCTACATACGTATATACATTTTTGGCCAAGTGCGTGGCCAAAAGTTATGGCCGTCGATTTCCGGCACACTTTATGTAACGACCTGAAAAATGTCGAAAAGATGTCGTCGGAAAAATTTCTCACTGGGCGGTTAGAGTATCGCTCACGCGCTCTGCTACTAGACTACGCACCCGCACGGTCACGGTCATCATTCACGTGGAGCGCACTCTAAACTTTTTACTAGAAGATTTGCCTCGTAACAACTGAAGTTTTGTGCTATTGTACCAGGTAGTTGATTAACCCCGCTCACTTCTGTAGTTGTGCTGTACCACACGCACGAGTGCGGGCGGGTTGTCTACTCGCTCGGCTCGGAAGGCGCCGTGGACAGGGACGATAGGCAAGCCCGCCCGCGCACTCGTGCGTGCGGTACAGCACTGCATAACTACAGAAGTGAGCGGGGTTAAACAGCCACCTGGTACATTGTATATTATCAAGAAATGCTTTAGTATCATTACGGTTTTCTCAACCGTAATCATAATACGAGGAACACGTTAAGTGATACCAGGGAAAAGTTTACTGATACTAAAGAACTTCTTGATATAATATGCAACAGCACAAAAGTTGAGTACTTACTAGGCAAAGTGTAGAGTGCAACAACGGAGGCACGACGAGGTCAAGTAGTGCCTGAGGAATAAAGCGCGCAGACGATTTTCGATGCGGGGTTCGCGTTTTCGCGCGCCATCACTTTCATTCGCTGTGTAGCACTCAGGCTGTTCGTTCCGTCCGACCTGCGTCCGACCTCTCCGCTCCAGCTCCATCCATTATGGAGTCGGCTTTAGTTTTGTGCCGAGCGGCCGGAGGGCGACGATATATCGAATCCTCGTCGATACTAAGTCCATTTTCGTGGACAAAGTTAGGGGGAATTTGGCGTCGATAAATTTCTTTTCTTTCGCAACACCCTACCGTGTCCGACCGTGTCTCTGGGGACGGACTCGCGCGGCACCGTTTGGAAACGAGTAGTTTGAGCAACAGGGTCGGAGTTGTATGGGCGCAAAAAGAAGATCCGCGCGGGGCCGCGTCGAGTAGAGCGAGAGATGCGCATGCATGTCTCCTCGAGCGCGGCGGGGCAGGCGGCGTGAAGGCGAGCGCAACTTTGTCAGACATTCCTTATCTATGCGTACGGACTTTTTACTATCATCTTTTCTCGTACTTCTCCCGCCAGCGGAGCGCCAAATGAGGGGGCGGCGACGGTGCACTGGCGGGGTGCTAAAAAGGGGGCGGCGGGGACGAGGAGGAAGGAGAGTTGAGACAAACGATAAATGACTGTCAGTCGCCATCAGAACCCTACCCCTCCCCCCTCTTTCCATTCCCCCGTGTGAACTTTCTACTCGATCCGCACGGGGAGGGAGGAAGAGCCATTTTGATCAACCGCATACGGAGGGAGAAAATGAGATTGCGAAAAATGGTTCTGTTGAGTAGCGGCGCGTCAAAGTGTTGAGACTTGACAGGTTCAGTGTCGCGGACCGCAAGTCCGAGACAAAATGTAGGCACGGAAAATGCGGTTCAATGTCGTTAAAGCGTAGGAAACGAATCAAAGAACCCAATTTTAACATCTGTATTCCATCTTTTTTTTTCTCCCTCAAAACTCGACTTGTATTCGAACATTTCGACAAGACAAAATACTCGCCTTGGCGTCCTGCCCCCGCTTACGGCGCGCCCCTCGCCCGGGGCCTGACGCGGGCTGACCCATGCTGACCCATGCTGACCCGCGCAGACCGCCGAGGCCCCGGCGGCCCGCCCGGAGTCGTGGCCGACCGAATCCTATCGCCCTCGCAGCGCGGCCGGCGCCGCCCGGCGGTGCTGACCGGACCGAGCCCGGCCGGGGCCGTGCAGGCCGTGCAGGCCCTCGTGGTGCCGCCCGGGATGGCATCCTTGACCCCCTCCACGACACATCGTCACCGCGGCGGTGGAGCACGGCGTCCACCCCGTCGCCGCGTCAGCGGGGTGCTGATAAGCCCAGCAGCTCTCGCTCTCTCTCTTTCTCTCTCTCTCATTGTCTTTCTCTTTATCTCTGTGAGCCTCGTCGACCCCCCCTCCCCCCTTTCCCATCGGGCCTCACATGACTGTCTTCGGGTTTTTAGACAGTCCCCTGAGGACTGTCTCTACCAGAGGGAAAAGTCCCCTCCCCCTCACCTCCCTCTTCCTATATGTGGCACAGGGCAGGCCGCACGGCGGCGGCGGGAGGTGTTTATGTTGTAAAATAATCTTCACCCATTCCTTAAATTTGGACGAATTTACTGGTTGGAAGTGAGGCAGAAGTGGGAGGTGGCGCGCCATCGCTGTGCGCCGCCGGGGCCCTTGCGCGCCGTACTGTTAGCATGTCCCTGCTAGCGGGGCACGGCACCGACTTGAGCTCCTCCCACCCGTCAGTGGGGAATGTTAAGTAAATGATGTTGAAGAGGTGCCGACAGACCTACTGCCACAGAACCAGTTGAGTGCGCTCTCCAAAATATTGTGACCTTTTTAGTACACAACATGCGACAACATGCGATCTCGCGCATTTGTAAATACGCAGTTATTAACAAAACTGATCATGACCGCCGTAATTCTCCCAATTTATTCGTAATTGAGCAGGAGCGCATGGTTGAGGAAAATACACAGCTGTGTACAAGCAATTCTCAACAAATTATTGTGTGGTGGGGAAACAGAACTGAGCACCTGCAGGGTAGGTCAAGCAGGACCTCCGTGCGGTGCGGGTCGGCCTATCTACCTTCCGCAGGCTGAGCGAGCGCCTGTCGGATAGGCCAAACAGGACCTCCGTGCTGTGCGGGTCGGCCTATCCACCTTCCGCAGGCTGAGCGAGCGCCTGTCGGGTAGGCCAAACGGGACCTCCGTGCTGTGCGGGTCGGCCTATCCACCTTCCGCAGGCTGAGCGAGCGCCTGTCGGGTAGGCCAAACAGGACCTCCGTGCTGTGCGGGTCGGCCTATCCACCTTCCGCAGGCTGAGCGAGCGCCTGTCGGGTAGGCCAAACAGGACCTCCGTGCTGTGCGGGTCGGCCTATCCACCTTCCGCAGGCTGAGCGAGCGCCTGTCAGGTAGGCCAAACAGGACCTCCGTGCTGTGCGGGTCGGCCTATCAACCCTTCGCAGGCGTCAACTAGATGGGAAAAACTTAGTCGAGCCTCCTTATTAAATGTTGGGATGGCCTATCTGTTGACGCGGACATTTTTTAATTATGCTAGCTTAGCGTAATTTTTGTTAGTGTAGCCTAGTCAACTGTGACTGCTAATTCGTCATTGGAGAAAGCTGATGATGCATTGATTATCCCATCTTAATATTTCCCCACCACTTAGTCGAATATTCTTAATTCTTCAAGACACGCAACACTGGCGGGCGATAGTTTTACCAATGTCTGTTGCCTCCGTGTTGAGGCTTCGGGCGCTGTAGTGCGATTCGATGTATCGATCCTCCCTGTGGGCTGCGGGCGGGCGCTGCGGGCCAGTCCTTGCGGTTTGACCCCCGGCCCTGCTTGTTCTCACTAATGGATAACTGCGTAGCCCCTGCTGCGCCCGCCGCCTCCCGCAGAGCAGCGCCCGGCCTGCACCCCTCGCTGTGATGAGCCACCGGCTGCAGGCTGCCAGCCCCGCCTGGTGCTGTTGCGAGCAAACGCTAGTGGGCCGACACAGCTACTTGGAAACATTTTTGAATTTTCGCGATTCGCGAATATACCTGGGAGGACCCTCAGAAACCCAGTCACAACGCTGCTGGTCACAGAGTAATGATTTTCGTTTTCCAGAATTCTGGATTTTTAAAAGTACTTTTGGGAAATTTGTCAAGAATTTTTTTTCAAATCTTTCTTTTTTCTGAAAACGTTTTAATTTTTTCCATTTTTTGTCTTGAAAAGTTTCCATTTTCCCCGGAAAATGCTCAGATCTAAAAATCCCTACCAGAGAGTTTGCAGGGAGGTCGCGATGTCGCGCGGGCACGGGGGTCCAGCGAGGGGCACGACACCGGCGCCGGGCCGCGCCGGTCAGACTCGCAGGCGCTCGCAGGCCCAGGGGGCCGGGCTGGGCTGGCTGGAGGTCGCCAGGTCGCTCTCCTCCCACGCCGACCGTTTGCGTACATAATTGCCGTGTGTATCTTCTAAAGATAGTTTTGAGTGGGCGCCCGTGTCGCAAGTACACGAGTATGTCGGTATCGGTGCCCCCTCCCCCTCCCCCCTTTCCTCTCTCTCTTTCCCTCCCTCCTGGACCTACTGCTCGCCTGCCGTACTCACCGGTCGCCTCTTTCTTCTCCTGCCCAGGCGCACGCGCTCGCTCAACCCCCCGAGCCAGGTGGACCAGTTCGGGCCGTGCGGTCGCATCCTCAAGAACTCCGGGATGGTGATGTAAGTATACATTGTGCGGGTGCCCGGTGCGGGTGCATGATATGCGCGCCCAAATGCGCTGCCGTTGTTGATCTCGGCCTGCTCCTCCTTCCCCCAGGACCGTCCAGGACCCCGCCTCACAGCGGCTCACCTGGGCCAAGAAGCCGCTGACGGTGCTCGTCATCAAGAAGGTGCGCGACGGCAAGGTGCTGCCGCCCTTCGTGCAGCTCACGCGCTGGCTCGTGCTGGAGAAGAGCATGCTCGTGTTCGTCGAGCAGAGCGTGCTGGAGGACCGGGCGCTGCTCGAGGACCCCGACTTCCACGACGTGTCGGGCAAGCTGCAGACGTTCCGCGACGGCAAGGACGAGCTGACGGACAAGATCGACTTCATCATCTGCCTGGGCGGCGACGGCACGCTGCTGTACGCCAGCCTGCTCTTCCAGCGCTCCGTGCCGCCCGTCATGGCCTTCCACCTCGGCTCGCTCGGCTTCCTCACGCCCTTCCAGTTCGAGAACTTCGAGGCGCAGATCACCGAGGTCCTGGAGGGCAACGCGGCGCTCACGCTGCGCAGCCGCCTCGAGTGCATCATCGAGCGCGGCGACGGCGAGGACGGCGACGGCGAGCTGGTGCCGCGCGTGACGGGCCGCGGCCGCAGGGGCATGCCCACCAGCCTGCTGGTGCTCAACGAGGTGGTGATAGACCGCGGGCCCTCGCCGTACCTCTCCAACATCGACCTGTACCTCGACGGCAAGCTCATCACCTCCGTGCAGGGTGACGGTGAGTGTGCCCAGGTGACAGTGTCACACCGTGCCACCTCGCGAGCTGGAGACGTTTGGCCAGCCGGCCAGCCTTCGCGTGCCGACGGCAGTTACATCGATTCTGTTTGGGCCGCAGGTCTGATCGTGTCCACCCCGACGGGCAGCACGGCCTACGCCGTGGCGGCCGGCGCGTCCATGATCCACCCCAGCGTCCCCGCCATCATGGTCACGCCCATCTGCCCGCACTCGCTGTCCTTCAGGCCGATCGTCGTCCCCGCTGGCGTGGAGCTCAAGGTACGTCGCGTCGCCCTTTAGTGCCCCCCGTATGGTTCCCCTGTGTTATGTAAAAAAATATGGCAGTGTTACGGTTTACCACAGTGCCCCACTGTCATGTCATTCTTGATGCTTGGTCTCAAAGGGTTTTGGAGTTCTGAATAAGTGTATTTTTATAGATCTGCATATCGCCTGACAGCCGGAATACAGCGTGGGTTTCCCAGGATGGCAGAAATCGTCAAGAACTTTTTCATGGGGACAGGTACTGCGTAGTACCCTTTTGCACACCTTTCTGTGCAGACTCGAAGGTCTTTTTTTTTTGGTTGCTCGTGCTACAGCGTGCTGCGTGCTACCCATAGGGAGGGCCTCCACTTCCTCCTCCTTTCGTTCTGCTTTAGTGTTTGTATTTGCAAGCTCCGTTTGCATGTTTCAGATCGCACTCAACTGTGATGCGAGGCACACCGCCCACGTGTCGTTCGATGGCCACTGCCCGCAGGAATTGCGCATGGGGGATAGGTGTGTCAAGTTTACTCGAGTTCTCTTTGGGGTTGCCCAGTGGGACGCCGACAGACGCTCAAAGTCGACGTGACGTCGGTTTTCATTCCATCCACCCTTAAAAAATTTTACTAGAAAATTTACCCAGTAACTACTAAAGTTTTGTGCTGTTGTATATTTAAAAAGAAGACTTTTTTCTAGTATTAAGTTTAGTGGCACTAAAGAATTTCTTGATAGTGTACAACAGCACAAAACCTTAGTAGTTACTTGACAAATTTTCTAGTGAAAAGTTTAGAGTGTATGCGTCTATTCGACGTCCAATCGACATGTATTCGACTCCTACGTCAAAGGCTACTCACTGGGTGGTGTAGGGATTTTAAATTTCTTCTTTCAAATAACTTGGTTGGATTGAATGAGGGCATTACAATGTTTCTGTCCCGTTCTCTCATTTGACATGCTCTCTATCTCAATACTCTTCAGGAAAATTGGCAGTGGTTTCATTCTCTAAAAGTTCTTTTTTACCTCAAAGCTCCCCCAACTCTTAATTTCCATTTTGCTATTTTTCCCTGCTTTGCCAATAACTGTAAATTAATGCATTTGCTTCTGTAGCGAGTCTTTTAGTTTCAACCTTTAATCTTTTTTTCCACCTTCTATCTTTTATCTTTTGCATGTAAAAGTACCTTTAAAATAGATTCATATCACTACGTAGATGCATATTACTAACATTTTTGTTGTGGATCTAAAGTTTAGTAATCTTATTGATATTTATTAAAATTACAAGTTTCTCATTTATACCCTGAGTAACAAATTGAATGCACATTTGTGGTGCCTTCTTTATTTAATTTAGAATGCGCCCTATCTTGCATACTATGCTACCTGGGATTTTATCATTTATAAAATATTAATTTTGATTGGTGTTCTTTGTAGCTTACGAGTCACAACTTCAAAGTACCCTGTTCCATCAATTTGCGCTGCCGATCAAATAACTGACTGGTTTGCTTCTTTGGCGGAGTGCTTACACTGGAATGTGAGGAAAAGACAGAAGCATTTGGATGAATTAAGCGATCTCACTCATTCCAGTTCCAATGACACATTGGATTCTCTGGATAGCTAGCGGTGAGTTTTATTGTGTGTACTTCATTTCAGACATCTTTTGGAAAACATTTCACACTACATATAACAGCACTTAATTCTGCTTGATTTTCACACGGACCAATCTTTATTTGTTTTTGTTTTTTTGTATTTTATAGATGGACGCCGGGGACACAGCCCCCAGCGCAATCTGCTAACAACCTTGGAGGGCTAGACGCTGTCCAAGCCTTGCATCGTTGCTGTGCCCTGTTTAGTTTGGGTGTCAGTAAGGTATAACTGTACCTGATGTAGCCTCATGCGGTGGCTTGTGAGAAGAGACCAAAACTTACAAGGTTTGGTCTACCCATGTTTTGAGTTAACTGGAACTCTCAAATCTATTTATGAATCTGGTTGTTTGATTTTGTTCAGGCTCACAAATTGTTTTTTGAATTTATGAATGGTGTAGAGGATGCTTTGAAGTGAGCCTTAATTAAAATCTCGTCTCACATAGGGTAAAGAAGGAACATGGAAGGAAGTTTTAATTTTTACAAGTTATTTTTTTTCTGTAATGTACAAATTTTTGTTGTTTTTAACTTAGTAAAGAAAATTTATTGGTTGTACTTGTTGAGTATGCTGAGCATTCATGTGATGAATCCAAAAATGGTGATATGTTGGATCATACTTAGATATAATGTAGAAATCTTCATCCAACAACTTCATGACAATTTTGTGCTGTGCTGTAGGTTTTAAGAGATGTATACGATTATAAAGTTTTGATAAGATGCTCCAGGTTTTTACAGGAGCTCTGGATGAGTGGATCAGCAGCATTAATATCTTCTGAATGATTGTCATTCTTAGTTTTCTGATAATCTCCTTCATTTCTAAGTCAATTACACATATGAAGCAAACAAAGTGAAAATGGAGTTGTATATGTTCAAGAGCCTTAAGTTTCTAAAGTCAGATATTTTGCATTTCTTACGTTTGATAATTTTGGTGCAGAGTTTGTTACTATCTGGTCTTATTCATGAATGATAATGAGAGCAGAGCTTTACAGTGATTGATGAAGAGTAACCTGTAAGCACCTACATTTTATCTGATCATTCTTATTTGTGCTAGAGATCTCATGCAGACTTGCTTGTGTAAATTTTTGATAACAAAAAAACAAAAAAAAGGATGAGTGAATTCATTTAACTACATGTACCAATATTTTGGCCAAAGATCAGTATACTTCTTTCATCATTTTCATAGACTGCTGTGTAAGTTCCATATCATTGTTGACATTGCATCTAACTCTCTTTCTGTATGTCATACATTCTCTTCAGTTAGGGAAAAAAATATTCCAGAAAAAGACAATTTCAATTAATCAAGCTGTTTGTGTAGTACATCTTCTAACAAAAAACTTCATCAAAAAAATTTGGTGCAGGGTTTTTGCAATTTTTAATTTTTAGTTGACCTAATTCCGTTCTTTGTACCTATTGTGTCATGTGACAATCCTAAACTTAATCTGAAACTTAACTTTAATGGGATCAAATTTATTTAAAAATTATCATTGTGTTCAACTCTTATTCATGTACAGTTCATCGCATGAATTTTTCTTAGAGTCATTTCTTCTATTAGAGGAGAGAGCTTCAAATAACCATTTTTTGAAACGTGGATTATGACAATACTTGACTGATTTTCTCTTTCGCATCTATCATACTGCTCCTCTCTTGAGGGGTAGTGATTTGTTTTTGTGTGTGCTTTATGAAAGCACACAAACAATTAAATAGCAGCAGGGGTAATGATGGCTTAGAACCAACAATTCTTTAATTTGCAATGTCACTAAAATTTCTATTTGTGTGTTTTTTTACTGATTGACCATTGGATCTCTCAAACTTTAGTTTACAATTAATTGTGCAGTTTTGAATGTGACCTGCCTAATCTTTTGAATTACGTAGATTTAATGTGTCAAGTAGTTTCTAGTTCCCCTTAAAATTATGAACAAATTTGTCATTTATGGTACCACTTATTGATGAGTCCAAGATCTTTGTCACTACAGTGTGATACGGTGATAGTAAATTGGCTATCATTGAATATGTGCCTCGATAAGTTTTTATCAGTGAGATTACTCAACACAAATAATTTATGACATTTCTGTAATCTTATTGTGCTCATATGGTTCCAACAAGTTTCTGCTCAAGTTTCAGCTTTTATTGTGTATTTTTTCCCCTAAACATTCCTGTTTGTGAAGTTATAATTATGATAATATACTGTTATATGGTAGCTAGATTTAGCCAATCAGCTCAATACTACTAGTGCGTAAAGGACCAAATAAAATAAATTGGGGTATTTTGAGTAGCTTTTTTTCTTGACACTCTCTCTGGGAAAAGTCATTTTGTCATAGTGGGAATTTCGTCCTGCACATTAAAAATTTTGTCAAAAACTGATTGAATTGCAGTATTTACTTCATCAATGGAACAGTCGGGGTTTCATGTCAACATCCTCCTCATTTAACACTTATTAAGTATTGACAAGCAGATCTGGTCATGTAATGCTCGGACCACGTCTTTGTTATTGTAATGGCATGTTGTCAAGATTTGTTGCCATGATTGTTCATTATTTGTATTTGTTGTCTATTTTAATTTTATTTCAAAAATCAAATTCTGTAATTTGGTCTTTCTTGTTAACTTACTCTTAAGCATTTTGTACAAAAGAATGACAAAAATATATATCGTGGTATTTGGTTTTAATTTTGAGTTCTTTCCTCTGAACCAGTTCATTTAAAAATTTAAGGTCTAAGGGGGAAAATAGGGGGGAAGGGGGGGGGGGGACTTACTGCAGTGTCTGTATTGGTATGACATAACACATTTGTACTTTAATGTAAGAACTTTTCACAGCATATAAGTTGAGTACATGTGAGGAGTTTTAATCACAGGGTTGGATATGCTTCTTATATAAACTAAATGATGATGAAAAGTAATGGAATGGTTTGAAAACAGAGATCTTATAACAATAGTAGTGTCTAATGCTCACATATCTTACCATCAATGGGAAAAAGTTGCTAAAACACAACTCTTCAACTCCCATCACTTATTAAAGCTTTGTGGTCAGACCCTCACTTTTGAACGTATCTAAATAAACTGAAACATGAAAGATTCAATCGGGAAATAACATAAATGATCTGCAAAGTGCGAGTAAAACTACCTGACGTCAATAGCTCATAAAAGGCCTTTCTAAGAGGGCAAGGATCAATCAAAGTGACATCAGCTTGATGTTATGTGTAAAAATTTGATCTAATGATGGGACAAATTTGCACAGAAGTTACATCACTGTAAAAATTAAATTTTTAGCCTCTCAAAATTTGATTCCTAAGTGACCTGCACAGTGCACGCCACATACCACACTCCTTGATAGAACTCAAAAACTGATCATTCATAATACTGGAAGATCAAAGTGAGCACTTAAATTTTTTTTCTGGTAACAAGTGTGCAATGGTACAAATTCTAGTAGAGCTAATAGTTATAGATCCATAGCTGTTGATATGGCAGTGCATAAAATATAACTTTAACTTTTGTGATATTCAATTAGGGGCCTCTCTTAAAATTTAAGATCCATCTACAATGAAGTGGAGTGAAGGCGGTGCAATAGAGATTGTGCGAGAGTAGGGGAGATAGATCCCCAATACCCTGCTTCATTGTGGATGGGCCTTTAAAGACACCAGTTGACCGGCTTAATTTACCAATTTCATCAATTGTATGGTAGACAATATATGTACCATCCTCAATTTTTAAGCTCTAGAATAACACTCTCATCACAGTCATATCATAAAAATTAATGGTGTACATAGTTTCAAAAACAAAACATATGGAGATATAGAGTTAAAACATATAAAATATAGTACAACATATGTGTTTCCACATTAAAAATTATGAATGTGTACACTGTATGACAGGGACATATGTAGCAGTCTGGTCTTCATATTTCCTTTTCAGGTTCATCCAAAAACAGGTGTTTTTGATCTCCTGAAAGCATATTCATTCTGCTAAAATCAGAGGGATCTTCTTCTTCACCTGATTTGTATAGCTTGGGTGTTCTCTATTGCAGCAGCTATGCAATTATTTCAAGCAGCATTACTGCGTAATGGGTAGCTCTCTGGTTCTTTTTCTCCTTTGCCTTTAGGGGAGTTCCATGGTTGAAGTTCACCAGTTCCAAGAACAAGGTAAATAATTGCTCCAAATATGTAAGCTCCTGACAGAATTCCAAAGATAATCTGCCACTGACCATAAGAATCCTACATGAAAATGGAAAAAGAACAAGTTTGTATGAATCAAAACGAACATATTGCAAGCTGGGACACACATCTCACTCAAAACTTACATTTTGATATGTCAATGAGCCCACCATAAGAGTGGAGAGGAAGCCACCAAGAGACGACAGCATGTTTGCAATTCCAAAGATGGTACCTGGAATGAAACATTTCACGAGTGAAATCACTGCATTTTAAGCGTGAGGATATTACCGGTAGTAGACTTTTGGGGCGATTCGACGGGGAAGGAAATTCTCATTGCCCTTCATTGTCCTGTGAGTTGTTGGTCGAAGGGGCGGGTGTCGCCTCGGGAAAGTCAACAGGCCCTCGTTTACTTTGGCGGGTCTGGGCTGCGCTCCGGGCTGCCGGTGGTGGTGGT